GATTGCTTGCGGCTGCTGAATGAAAGCTGCTGGAGATAAAGTGTGAGGGACAGATTGGAAAGGAGAAGAAGGACGACAACAGAGGGAAATGGATGGATGAAGAGGAGAAAATAGAAGAGAGAAGCCCATCAAAATAGCCTGCCATGCCAACCCTGGTCAACCACCTACTCATTCATAGGAACCAAAGCCTCTCTGCATATATGTGTGTGTTTGTGTGCGCACATGCATGTATCGGGGCTCCCATACACATCAAAAGCCGAATAATTCAATCATGCAAACCGCAATCCTCTCGGTGGAGACGCCACATTCAGAGCACTCCTCCTACTCCTCCTCCTCCTCTTCCTCCTCCTCCTCGTCTTCGTCCACAAGAAAAGGGATGTCAAGGCTTCTTCCGCATGCACTCAACATTATACCGCTCGCTCCTCCGCTGCCATTACCAGCGAAACAACAAAACAACCACCGACTCTGTCAACTCAGCTCTTAATCACACCAGATACAAAACAGACATGCGAGGCGGGGAAAGGAGCTCGCTTTAGAAGAGACAAACAAAAAATAAAACTGATTTGGTCCTATCAGAGTGGATTCTGGGACCTTAAATCAGGCTCGGGATGCACAAACATAAATTTGGCACCGTTTTAACTGTTACCATATTGATTCAGAAATAAGCTGAAGGCAAAAAATAAAAAACATATCAGACGAAGAGACTGAATATTTAAGATTCTGGACTTTTTTTCACGTCACTCTCTTGTCTCATAGCATCAAAGCTGGAATAATGACACACACTAAATTGCAGTAATTCAAAGATTAAATAATACAAAAAGACATCAGATTCACTGCCCTCTGCTGGAGGAGAGATGTCAAAAGGTTAAAAAAAAAAAATCATAAGCTGAAATGCTGATTCCATGAGTAAACAATGCATTCTCTCCACGCAACACCTGGCTCGTAAGATGCGCTCATACGCCGACACATGGACATGCGCCGGACACAAACAGCGACCGGTGACAGCTGCGACTTCTGCTGCATATTCTACCACGTCCTCCTCCACCACCACCACCCCCCTCCACCCCGATGCTGTGAGTCTTCACTCTGCACCCGGGCCACAGGGTGAGTATCAGGTGAGGTTTTAAATAGCGGGGGCCTCTACGAGATGACCTCAGGGTCTCAGGGGTCTACCCCCGTGGCCCCTGGCCTCTACACTTATGCCCCACCAAGCCACCCCACCTCCAAGCAAAGCGCTCCGGGACCGAGGGCCTCCCCCTCCGTCTGTAGCCTTGAGACTACAACCATAACACCGCCCCCCCCATGCCCCGGTTCAGACCATAAATCTGGGGACCATAAACTCATTTCAACTTGAATCGCTTGTACATATCTCTGCAGAGCTCAACTCCAAGTCCGCGTACGATGAAAACAAAGTACATCCTCCGAATGCCACAGGCCCCCATCCTCTCTTTAGCGTGGGCTAAATCTTCGGGCTAACCGCAACTCAGCCCAGATTACAGTACAGCTCCAGCTCATCTGCTTCACCCCCAGTTTCAACTTCAACCCTTGCCCAGAGCTCAAGCTTCAAAAGCCCCATTTCCAAAACCGTTTTTTTTTTTTTACCTTCTCTACCCCCATCAACACAGCTCCGTAATCTGCAGCCCCTCTCTCTCTCTCTCTCTCTCAGAAACAAAGTGAAAGAGTGAGGGGCTGTCCTACAGGAAGGCCAATGTTTATGTGATACTGTTTTAATTAGAGGCAGGCAGTGCTCCTATTTTCTTTACAATTTGGCCTGTGTTTGCCTTAAGCTAGAATGCCAAGGGATGGCTCCGTTTTCCATCTGTAGCCAGGAGGAACCGTATAGGGGTCCTGTTCCTCTCCTCTCCGTCCCCGCTCCCCGAACGTGGCTTAGACTTAATCGCCGCAAGATCATCTAGAATCATCTGCAATTTGAAACCGAGGATGTATCTAAAGTCGAGCGCAAGCCAAAAGGCATGAGTTGGGACGTCGAGGGGGGAAGCACGGAGAGGGCTTCGAGCCACGTTTGTGTGTTGGGGAGATCAAGATAGGACGCCGCAATACTACAACTTCCGGTTTGGGGCTAATCATTTCCTCTGAGCGCCACAGTGGATATAAACACAGAGTTGGTCTGCAGAGTGGATGCCCCGAGTGCACGCTGGTATGTTTCTAGGTAGGGAAGCTTTAAAATATGTTACTATCATTCCCCTGTTTGGTTAGCAACGTCCAAACCCCCCCCATAGATCCTCAGAGGGTTTGACACAATCGCCTCTTTGTGCAAGCATGCGTCTCGCTCCCAATTGGTCTCTGTCACTTTGTCTAATAAACAGAACTTCCTGTGTCTGAGTATTTATAAACAGTGCTGAGTGAGCACTGTGTGAGAAGAGACAATCCCTGCGAAAGCTGCGGCACGTGACGGCGTGTAGAATAAACACACGGACCAGCTCCGGTGCGCAGCTAATGGTGGTCCTCCGCAGACCTCAGCTGCTTTTTGGCACCGCCAGACGAGCAGGTGACGAGAGACACGACACGAGATCACGAAAAAACGTAAACGCGGGCCCCGGCCAGCTCTGCAGCGACCGATGGATCTAATGCGAGCCGGCTGCATTGTATGTGTGCGTGCATCCACAGGCCACACAGCTTCCAGGCGGGGTCGTCCACGGGTCGCCTGCGGAGGGCAGTTCCAAATGAAACATAAACAGCCGCTCTGTCCTCTCCTCCTCTCTCCTCTTTTTCCTCTCGGACGATGGGCCAGTCCCCCAGCACGGCCCAACACAGCGTTCCACGGTCCAGGCAGAACTAATCTATCCCTCAGCTGTGCAGTCTAATCTAAACAAACAGATCTCTCCCTACCAACATCTGGAACCCCTCACGTACCGGGACCTAGGAAACCACCGCAGCCCTGTCTCTTAGACGCTGTCTGTGTGTGCAGGAGCAGGTCTCTGTGTATCCCTGTGAGCCAGTACGAGGCCAGGCTGTTAGACGTCTACCAGGGGTCACAAGCGCTACACGGGTGTCAGACGGGTTCACTGTGAAACTAGTCTCTGCCAAAAAAATGGTGAAAGTGAAAGACAAAGGAGTAGCAGAAGACCCAACTAAAAGCAAAGGCTATTTAGAGTTGGATTTGACGCAATACTGGTGCTGTTACATCAGAACTAACCGCACACGAGGGCAGGTGGATGCATTAAAACATCGAGTGAGAACTACCAAACACATGAGCAGAGTCGATCTCACACACACAAGACGTGTTTAGAATGACTGGAAAGACACACATCCTCACATCTGAGAAGCTGCAAACGGACTATGGTTGCTACACAATAAACTAAAGGCCATCTAAACTCTGGTTTTCAAACATTTATCACCAGTGGACTTTAAATGTGGTTATAAAAGGTTTGCTAGTTTGCTGTGTAATGAAGCAAAGCAGCTGTGGGCAGCTTGTTGAAATGTAAAATGGCAAAACGTATGAAAACCTCCATAGAAACTCCAAATGCAGCTCGATGCACTTATGTGCTGTATTAGGTTTCCCAAATGTTGTTAAATACATGTATTTTTCTGAACCTTCATGTGAGAAGGAGACAAAATAAACAGAGAATGTTACCAATGTTCATTTTTTGTCAAAAAATCCAAAAGATATTCAACTTATAATTAAATGACGCAGGGGAAAAACCATCAGTTAAAAAAACGGAGACTGATCCCAACAAATGTTTGATTATGATAAATAATCAACAGTTACTTCTTGGCTGATCAGTTCCCACAGCGTCAGGATGCGCTGATGATGATGATGATGATGGTAATGATAACGTTCGGTTTCACGCGGTGGCCCCGGCCGTGGCGTGGCATGTGAAAAGGGTGTGAAAACAGTGTGATCCTCTGAGCACAATCATGAGTCCTGGTGCTTGAAGAGGCTCCCCTCCGCCTAAAGTGCTGCCAACTGCGCCTGCGCCGCAGATTAGAAGAACACGCTGTCTGTCAGACCCCTGCAGCAGCACGCAAAGGAGAGAACAGCCAACCCGGGGAGGAGGTGGGGTGTTTGATCTGTGCGGGAATCAGTCTGCTTTAAAGCTTGATCTCATGAACTCTGCTTTTTTTTTCTTTTTAAACTTGAAAGAGGAAAGTCAAAAAGTGGAAAAAACAAACAACACAAGCTTCATAAATCTATGAGTAGAAAATATTTTGTTTCCCCTTTTTTTTTTAAGGACAAAAAAATACCTCGATTCAATTCCTCAACTGCACAATCTGCTCCTCCATTCATGACTCCTACAGCCGACTCCAGCCATAAGTGCAGGAATGCGGATCAAAGGGAAAGGAGGAAAAAAGCTCAGCCCCTTCCCCTTTACCCCCCCACAAGCACCACCCATATGCACAGCCGCTTTCTTCCCTTTTAAATTTTTCATTCTTGCTAAGTTGTTTCTGAACAAAAATCTCTAAAAAAATAAGGGAAAATAAAGAGAGAGAAAGAAACAAGTGGGCCATCCACCCCACAAACACGAGTTCCTGTCCTCACTCCGCTTTTTCCCTGCAGCCGGAGACAAATCTTTTTGGAAAGTTGAGAGCTGTCCAAAACGGGACCACACACAGTCTCTGAGCCTTCAACTGCTGGGGGCAGGCAGACACACACTCACTCACACACTCTCACAAAATGGCGGCTTTGACAAAAATTTCCTCTACCCCAAAAGCTGCTTATGAACTTAATTACAACCTTATTCGTGGGAGCAGCTACAGTCGCCTCGTGCACGTCTCGCGTGCGTGTGCGTTCGAGGCCGGCCTGAGAGAAGCCGGCGAGCACGTTGGGAAATATAAAATTATTTTCAAGTTTCTCTTGGACACTTGCCAGGACCTAAACAATAAACAATCCCCCCGATGTTGTTCAGCACCAGCAACCACCAAACCTCCCTTTTTCCTCCAATCCAGAACCGTTCCCTAAACGTGACACTGCATTGCTTCAAGACACATGCATTGAAATTTGCATCCAGAACAGTGATAATAAGTCAAGAGTTTCTTACCTTCTACCCAGAGTTTCTCCACGTCCGTTTCCAAATTAGCTGCCCGTAAGCCCACAGCGAAAGCTCCAAAAATCATGAGGCCCACAACCAAAAACTTTCCGCAGTTCTTTTGTATGTAACAGCCCAGCCTAAATAAAAGTCTCTGGAACTTCGCTCTCAGCCACAGAGGTGCTTTCCTCCCAGTCGCCTTCCCCTACGACAAGACAAGAGTCCTCATGTTACTGTCAGTCAAAACACACACACACACACAAAAAAGACACTGCACTTACCTGAGCAGGTGAAGCTGTAGAGAGAACATGCAGAGGAAATGACAAGCACTGGTGGTCCCATGTAAAAAAGCGTCTTCCTTATTTACACTACAGGCCCCTATGTGACCCAATAAACCACATCTGAGACTGCTATGATTCACCACAAATCGACCCAACATGAGGGCTGCCATCAAAATAATACATCGCTCTGCTAACCTTTTCAAAACCTACACATCTGTCCGCCGGGGAGAGGGGGGGTAGTGGTGGAGGTGGTGGTGGGAAGTGAGGGAGAGAGAGGGGGGGACCGCCTGGAAACCCACCGAGGACTCCCCAGAGCGAGAGCCGTGGGTTCTGTCATATCAGTAACACGTATAAAATGTAAACCTACACGCAAAAAGAAAAGATACCTTCCTCATCACCCGGCACTGACACGGCCTCTGTTGTCTCACAGTGATGAGTTATGATGAAGATCCACAATAACAAAAAAAAAAAAGAAGGGACATGTTTTGGTTTGGACCTCCAGAGCAGATGGAGGTAAATACATTTTTTAAAAAAGGAGATGATGACTGTCAAAACCACAATTACACACTTGGTGGGCTTCCCATAAGCATCCCCTGTGTGTTTGAATGACACTTTTAGATGTATTCATGACATAAAATAGCTTCTGGAGGGAAAAGTCCACACAAAAATAAAAAAAAAGAAGTGAAGCATTCTAGGAGGAGCAGGGTGATCCCCCACTGCACACATCAACCTGCGATATTAAATACCCTGAAAGGTTGCATGTGGTTAAAAAGCCACAAATACCACCACCACCACACACACTCCCCCACGTCCTGCTTTTTGCAGCCCGTGTGTTCCGGCCTGCGTGGGGAGCGGAGGAGCCATCACAGGGGAGACTCACAATATTTGTGAACGGAAGAGGGCAGCCACATGGATTTTTTTTTTCTTTCCTCCTACTTTTACGCGAGTCACACAAGGTTAGATAGTGTCACACAAACACTCCAGCCTTTCCTCTGGATGTTATGAAACAGTCGCTGCTGCTGCTGCCTCCTCTGCTGAAGCTGCTGCTGCGGATGAAGGCTGCATGTTTTGTCTCAGACCGTTAGTTTGGAGATGCGTAAAGAACAATCGAGTGGCTGTGTTGGGGGGGAAATACGAACCTACAACTCGCCTCCTCCGAAAAGCAGACACCGGCTGCACAGGATAGGGGTGGGGGGAAATGAAATAGCAAGAAAACGCCTCTACAACCTTGCCTTTACCCCCGGGTCCCCCCTCTTTGCCCCGTTACCTAGCAGCGACTGGACATAGTTTGGCCACTTTTTTTTTTTTTCGACCACAATGAAAAGCAAGGACCACGGAGCCGGTTAAGATGAGAAATAAGCACCTCTGTGATTTGCTCCAAAGCAAAGCCCGCATCGCAGTAGCTCGGCCGCTGCAAATACTCCAAATCCAGCGGTGTGCTGCGGGTATAGTCCCCCCTGTTCCTCCGCGTTATCCTCGGCCGATCGGGGTCTCTGTTTTCCTGCTCGGAGGGCGCATTAGCAGCCGAGGCCATGTTGCGGGGACTGCGAGATGGTAACCGTTTCCCACTTTATAGTGTTTCCCCGAAAGCGTGTAGCGATATCCCAAGGCAACAGAGTTTCACTCTCGGAGATCTCACACCCGTGAAGTAGGACTTCATACTCCTGTTGGAGACGGCGAGTCAAAGTCTGCGCCTTCCATCCCAACATTTCGTGATCCGGAGGTCTCCGCCGCTTTCACCGCATTCACCGTGTCTCTTAAAAAAAATTAAAAAATTAAGTTTCTCTCAAAAAGCGAGGCGCGCAAAGTGATTCCCATACACGAGTCGTCGGGTGAGAAACCTCGATGGTCGTAGCATTCTGGTGAGATCTATGTGGTCTTCCCCTGGGCCGCGCGTCACGGCCAACTCTGAGATTCAATAGAAGAGGAGAAAAAGACCTCTCTCCATTTGGAGGCAGAGAAGGAGGAGGGGTGAAAAGAGGAGGAAAAAAAAGAAAAAGACTCGAGATCCCGCCTCTGGGGCTGTCAGATCGCAGGACTTTCTTGCATCTGATTGGTTCCAGAAGGGCAAAAATTACTCAGCAAACACGACTATTATTAGCTGCTTAGCAACAGCTCACTAAAGTAGAGAGACCACCCAGGCAGACAGACCTCATGTGTGCATCTCCAACTTCAGGGGAGGCTCGCTGAGAGCCGAACCCCTCGGTGCGTTTTGGGTTTCCACGCCGCGTTCCGTCGCTAGAAAGAAGCGTTTCCCGGAGAGGAGCCGGAGTCGGCGGCGAGGTAGCCGGTCTGCGCGTCCATAGGTGGCCGAGGAATGCCAGAACGAAAGTTTTTAACTTTGTTTTTTTTCCTTTTTTTTTTTTTTTTTTTTCTACCGCCACCACGATGGTGGTAGTTGAGCCTCAAATTACAGTGGTTGAAGGGGAGGGCCCAGAGCAGACTATAGTGTCGTTACATGTCAGCCCCACTGAAGCACACAGGCTGGTGTTTAGAGGTTTAAAAGTGTAGTTCTGTGCCTTCCAACAAGAGGCAGACAATAAATACATTAATATTATGGCCCCAAGGATCAAACAGGCTTATGCAGCTCAGATGACAGCATTATTCTCCAAACACACCCCACTCCCAAGATAACATGTAATTTTGACAAATAATACATTTTAACAAAACCTGGATAAAATGTTGACCTTTTGAAAATTACAATGCTTTAAATACTTATAATTTATGCATGGGGATACCTATTTAGAGCCGGTTTCATCATCCACCCTCCTATTACTTAGTGTACAATATAATACAGATCTAAATCAACCTCATATTTCACATCCAGCTGCTTAGACAAACACGCACACGGTGAGTTTTACGCATTTAAGTTTAAACACCCAATATGGATGCGCTTTTACGCACATTCGTCAGTACACGAGTGAGCTTTTTTTTTAAAATAGTGGACGAAATAAACACACAGCCAAGGCTTTAAAGGCTTACATTACACGTTCCAAACCTGTTCCCCTAATACCTTGCTGCTTATCTTTAAACCATAAACTTCCCAAGAATAAAACAATCCAAACATTGCCCTGGTGGTAATTAACCCGCGCAGCCACCGGATGTATGAGCAGCCTGCGCTTCACACCTGAGACATCTGAGCTCAGCAGCGGCTCGTCTGGCTGCCAGCCGCTCACTTACCATCTTCAGTCCAGGTGGGGAGAACTCCGAGAACAAATCCGTGATATCCGCCCCCCGCCGAGAGCGACACGACTCAGTTATGATGAAGATAAAAAGAGCTGATTTAGTGTCGTGAGGGAGGAAAAGGACGCATCATAATCCGTCTTGGTCACAGTCATCGTGTTCTGCGTCAGAAAAAGGTTCACTCACAATTACATGGCTGCTCCTTTCTGGCCACGTGGGTGGTCCAGTGTTCTCTCCATAGGCAGGAGCCTCTTGTCTGTCACGTGAGTAACCCCAAAATTGTAAACTGTACCAACCCATGCACAGCAGCTTCTCCTGTCTCAGGCTATGACATGCACTTAGAGGGGAATAAAAAGAGCAGAGTCAACGTGTTGTGGCTGCTGTTGAGGACACACCTGTACATGCACAGGTGCCCTCTTCAATGCATTCATGCTAATACACACATTTTTTGTGTTTAAGGGATGCACATTGGCTCAGACATACAAAGCAGCCTTTGTTTTAATACTGCACACAGATGCACACAAGTAGGCCTGCACTCAAACATGTCCGCTCAATCATATATCAAACTCACGGATGAACTACTCTGAAAAATGAGACGTATTTTGCTTATTACTGTCCGTCTTAATGTCATTTTTGGAGCAAATCTAATTTTAGTACTTCCTTATTTGCTCAACAGTCTAAATTATTCCTCTGTTTGAAGTGACCCCACCCTGTTTAAAAGAGTCTTCCCAAAAAGCTCAGAAGATGTTTAATAAAAGTTTTTTTTATCCATTCACTCCCATCAACATTTAGATTTTCTTTGGAATCAGAACGAAGGCTGGGTGTGGTGGAGACCACCACCTCGACTGCAACAATAATATCACTTCACCGGCATCAGATAACCCTGGAGTGGTGTTTGAGTGGAAGGGGGGGGAATAAAAAAAAGCATCCAAGGGGGAGCAAAGTTAGGCTGCAATGCCCCCTAATGCCCCTGAATAGAACCAGGCCTGTCTCTGTGGAACGAGCCCTTATAGGAGGCAGGAGTCGTAACTGCTGCACCGTATCTGCGCTAGACGTGTTCAGGCTGTTGTCATGACAGTAACGCTGCAGGACTCCATCAAAGTGCCGCAGGTCATCGTGGAAAACGCTCCTCCGCTTCGAATACTGTAGTGTGGAGGCTGTAAAGATATGCCAGTAAAAATGCTCTGGGAGATTATATTGCAAGCATCTGTGTGAACTAATGAAATACGTATGCACATACGATGCCAAAACACCCTTGACCAAACATGAACATATTTCCTTTTTTTTTTCTTTTTCTTTTAAAGCAACAAGATATAAAATTTCCCAAGCTGCCCTGCTGCATGTTTGCAACTGCCTAAGCTTTACGTGAGGAAAATATAATGAATCAACCCATCGAGAAACATTAATTTGTTGTTCATCTGCAGTAGATGATATGTAGATCTATTGCAACACATTTGCAATCTTTTCCTGTATTCTTACAATCCCACAAACTCTAATTGTTGAACACATTTTGGTCGACTCTGATGGGACACGTGGATGTTAACTGTACTTCTGACTCTAAAAATTGCAAAATCTCATGCGTATTATGTTTTTAATCCAACACTTTGATCTAAATCGTAAACTCCTGGGGCCACGAAGAAAGACATAACATTAGGTCCACCTGTAAATCCTGCTTTTCCTGACTTTTAATGTTTTAACTTCTCATCTTGCTGCAGAGATAAACGGCTATTCATAAGAACTACACAACATCACTAATCGGTGTGGTTATAGGTGTAAGAAAGCACAGTTTAATTAACCACACAGGGTCAGAGGTGAAACAGGCTCGTGAACCGTGCTCGTCAGTCATCACAGGTTAAAAAAATAGCTGTTATATTCACTGTCAGAATTAAACTCCTTAGTCGTTGTTTTTTTGCCTCCAGGGATCCTGGTGGCAAACATTTGCCTTTCTGTCATCATTTACTTTTTATCCAGTCCTCTTCCATGCCACATGGATTTCTTAATGAGCAAAAGGAGATGAAATATTCATTTAGGAGCTGGAGGAATTGGGCATTGATCCAGGAATGACTTCATCAGCCAATCACCCTCTTTGACCCCTGGCAGGGCCCTTCACATCCCTCAAGGCTGCTCGCTGGCCAGCCGCCATGGGAAAAAGCGGAAAAACCTTGTTTAGCGCATGTGCCTATTTATGATTTGCAGGTGGATTACAGTTCAAAGCAGAAGTGTGCCAACGCGTTAGTATCCCTAATTCAAAACTCGAGTCTCCTTTTAGCCAGATTTGTTGTCAGGCTTGATGCAGGGATGTGTGGACTAACTTTGGACTCTCTCTAACTAGTTGCATTATTTTCTATATCGCTACAGTGAACAGCAACAGCATCCAACCATGCAACAAAAAAACGTCTCGCACAGTCTTACAGAATCAGCAGGCTGTACTCGGCTTAGTCGAGTACTCATGAATGGAGACTGTGGGGACAGCTGTGTTTGCCAGCCATCACGAGACGAGGTGCAGGAGTGGTGCAGCGCGATCAGGCAGCCACTCACGTTTCAAACCACTCACAGGAAAGTGCACTGAAAAAAAAAAGACAGACAGGAGGGAAAACAGCAGAATAAGAGAGTGAGGGAATGCAAACAAAGCACACCTCTTTATTGAAAACAAATGCACTCAAGATCCCAATTAAGTAAGAATGTCCTCTCTCCCTCTTTCTGTCTCTCCTTCATTCTACCAACAAAAAACAAAAAAAGGAAAGGGAGGAAAAAAGAAAAACAATGATATGGATGCCTGGGAGTGAGGGGTTCTTGGTGATCATGTGATGTGTTTCATTCACTGAGAGAGTTAGACTCTTTATAGAGCCCATGTGGTTTGGGCTGCGTAGTACTGATGGTAAGAAACATATATTGAACAACTGCGTTAGGTGTTCTTGGGAAGATGGCTTCTTGTGTGTCCTCGTCCGCATAAAGTTGAAACCGTAAATGTGTCACGTAGCTTCCACATTAAAGGATCCTTCTGATTTATTACAACTTGTTTTCTCAGTTTTTGCCCATTTTTTTTTGTTGATTGGTAGCAACAGCTTTGTAGTGACCCAGTTAAATGCTTAGATGTGGAAGCAGATGTCGAAAAAGGCAAACAATATGAGCCTTCAGGCAATCTCAGCGGTTTTGTATCCAGTTTAGCTAAATCTATTTGGAAGACAAAGCAGAGACAAATGTAAAAAAAGTATGACCTAAACTGTTTCTTGTGAGCATCTCCAAAGAGCAGCGTTCTGGTTCCACTTTGACCCTTGATGCTTCAAGAAACCAAAGTTTAACCTTCATGTCTGCTTTATTTGTTTAGATTTCTTCCTTACTTGTTCCAATCTCAGTCGCCTGAATGATAGTTTCCCCAATTTCTTGCTTTACCTCAATCAGATTTTCCATAACCTCTGAGAGCTGTCCAACTTCAGACCGGTTTCTCTCTCCGCTGCTGTCAGGTGTCGTTTCAGGATCGGATCAGTCCGACCCATCTCTACCAGAAGTTTGGCTTTGCATCCATCCAGAGTTTCTATACTCTGTTCCAGAAACGTTTCTGCCGTGTTTACATTGTGACTCCTCCTGTAAAATGTCACGATGAGGTCCCATCGCCAAAGACATGTACCGTCAATTTTTCCTGCGCGCACTTAAATAAGTTCATTTATTCAAGCCCTTAGTCTCTCCTCACTGAAATGTTGTCTTTTGGTTTAACGGCATAAT